CTTTCCCTGCCTTTTACTGTAATTAAGACAACAAATTGAAAGGAAGGGGACAGTCCTGGACTTGTTCTCTTTTTTCTAAGAAGTGATCTCCTACATGATTTCTTGTGGTAGTGGATCATGAAGACGAGAATGTGGGGTGAGAAGGATTCATGGCACTGTAGGGAACCCAGACATTGCAGACAAAGGGAGTGGGTGGGAACAAGGCCTTCAATAAAGTGGTAAGGTGAGGCAAAAACAGTGATGTAGGCAGCCAAAATGCAAGGGCAATGAGCAATGGGTCTTGCCTGATAACAAGGGCACTGTGGAAACATTCTGCTTATGACTCTGGCACAATATTTCAGTTACACTGAATTTTTCCATTACTAACTGCTTATGAGAATTTCCAAACTGAGCATTTAATTGCCCCAAAATAGAAAGATGAGCATAAAAGAACGTATGTCCTATAAATGCTACAAAGCAGTCATAATTTGGATAGATATACACTGATTTGGCTGAGGAAACTTCGACTAAATTAACTGGGATGTTGTTCATTATTTTCTGTAATAAAATAGATGGTCCTCGAGTGCTCTCATTTCTTGAATAACTTTATACCATGTTATTTTGTTCAGATACTTCTTCAAAACAATGGTTGTTGCTAGGATCTGAACTAGCACTGGAAGAAAATGGATTATTTGTAACAAAAAAAGATAGGGGAAATTGTAGTATTACATAAAGCATTATGACTACTTCCAAATGATTTTAAAATCTATGCCCTAATGATCCCAATTTACTTTTTCTGCCAGATGCTTCAAAATTGCATGGAAATTGGGAAGCAGCCTTTTTGAAGTAAATTCTAACTTTTCAATGTCTTGATTAAATATTAGCCATTTGCTCATTTATGTGCATGTATTTTATTAGTGACTGAACCACTATCTTAAACCAATTAGCAATGTTTCATCAATTTTAACACCACCTTCTAAATGATACACTACGATATAATTTCTAAATCACTATTACTGCTTGGCAACTTTCTTTTATATTAATGGTTAAATCTTTTTTTAAAGGTGAGGCTTCTAAAACTCTGATATTTCTTTTGAAATTCTTGAGCATTAAGCAGATTAACTTACATTTGTCTTTGAAACATTGCTTCTTCAAGACTTTGAACACTGTGCTCTTATCTAAATTCTGTATGTCCATGTTTGTTTATATGTCCTCTTCATTTTTAAGGTTAATGAATATACATTTGTCAGCAGGGCCATCTTTTTTAAGAGGAGTGGTATTGTTTTTAAAAGGCAATCCTTTGTAAAAATGTCCCAAATTCAAGAATTTACTGTTTAGAAAACAAGACCAGGGGTTTTGCCCCCAGAGAAATCATAAGCTTATGTTAAATACTTAAAAAACATTGATATATGCTTTTTCTTCTTTTGGATGGATAGAATTGTATCTTGTCACATTTAACAAAGTTTTCCTGTGTACACAAGATTTACTCCCTTTTGGACTAGTTTCCTCCTTGATCTTCAAGCATGGCCCTCGTAGAGGGAAAATGTCAGTAACTTTAAAAGAAGACACCCATCTTCACTTTGATAGTTAAGCAACAAGAATATTTTAAAAGACCAAGAGAAGAAGAAGAAAGAAAATCTTCTTGCAGAAGCAGGTGTACTACAAAGCAATTAGTTCACGGACCGGCTTCCGGCAACTGAGGACACAGCTTTTTATAAGTTTTTCTCCACTGGGAACAGTTTTTTGAGTCTTCCTCTCTCTGCTCTCCATCCCTCGAGTCCTAACTAGGTTTTGTCTTTTTTGCTTGTAAGAAGGAAAAAAGTGGCCAGGAAAGGAGTATTTGGTGTACTTACCAATGGTTTTCTATTTTCAGTAAATTTTACCATTCTCCAAATGACTTCCAAATGTCCCTAGACACAGAATCACTAGGCTCCCTCTAGATCAGCGGTTCTCAACCTGTGGATCGTGACCCCTTTGGGGGTCGAACGACCCTTTCACAGAGGTCGCCTAAGACCATCAGAAAACACATATATAATTACATATTGTTTTTGTGATTAATCACTATGCTTTAATTATGTTCAATTTGTAACAATGAAAATACATCCTGCATATCAGATATTTACATTACGATTCATAACAGTAGCAAAAATACAGTTATGAAGTAGCAACGAAAATAGTTTTATGGTTGGGGGTCACCACAACATGAGGAACTGTATTCAAGGGTCGCGGCATTAGGAAGGTTGAGAACCACTGCTCTAGATCTTTTTGGGAATCTATTTCATGAAAACTTGGAGTCCTCTGTACCCAAAGGAACTATGCAGAATTTCACATTTGATTCTGTATCATTTACCAACCCTCAAAAGCTCACCTGTGGACCCCAAGTTAAAATGTTTGTCTAGAGTTAAAAGGCAAGGAGCCCTGGAACACCTTTCAAGGGGCTCAAATACATCCTCCGCCTTGCAAGGCGAGTTCTTTCAGTGGCCAGTGGGAGCTCGGACTTTGACCGGAGTAGGTGGATCCCTGCTACCCACTGACTGGCCCGGGTCGGAGGAAAAGTTAAGTTTCCGCTCCTTACATTTCTCCAAAGCCCATCCTGTATGCGCCGGACCCGACCTGGGCCAAGGCCTCCAAATCTGAGACCAGGCAACACAAGTGCGTCAAGAAAGCCCCAGGGCACCGCGGGTCGCCGCACACAAACCCACCTAAAGCATCGGCCCGGGCTCCCCGACGTACTTGCCGCAGGTTTCAGCACAGCGTCGGAAGCCTAGGGTCTCCTCCCAGCCACGCGCGCGCACTCAGAGCCCAGCCCGCGCGGGGTCCGCCGGGGAGGCTCCCCAGACCCCAAGACCTGTGCGGGAGCGAGGCATCCTTCGCGGGGGTCCTTACCTTGGGGTTGGTCAGGAGCTGGTGCTCGTCGCTGTGCAGCAGCGCCCTGGAGTTGGACTCGGAGTTGTTCACGTAGACCTGGACGCAGGGGTACTGCGCGGTGCCCCTGCAGTCGGCGCCACAGGTGAAGGTGCACTCGAACACCTCGCCGATCTGCTGCACCGACAGCACCGTGCAGTTGGCCGCCGTGGCTTGCAGATCCTGCAGCGCGGGACTGAGCCAGCAGAAGCCGAAGATGAAGAGCGACACGACGCCGGAGAT